GTTCAAAGGATAAAACAAAAGAAAATGTCTCGTCGCAATTCTACAAATGTAAATGTTTCTGTCAATACTATAGACAATTCCCAAACAGTTCCAATCAATTATTTATGTTTTTAATAAACTGTATTATTTGTTCACGGAAATTTCCCGCAGTAGGAAAAATTAACTATAAGACTATATTTATAATCAAATGAAAAATAAATTATTTAACAGTTAGAACTTTAAATAAACTAAAATTAAATTTATTATTTATTCGCGGAAATTTCCAGTAGTAGGAAAAATTAACTATACGACTATATTTACAATTAAATGAAAAATAAATTATTTAACGGTTAAAACTTTAAATAACCTAAAATGAAATTTATAAAGAACGGTGTATTCTAACAAGAACAAATTAAACTATTTCTTAATCAAAACAAATTCCAATTCCTAACTCAACACGGAATATTGTTATTTTAAAAATAAATCAAATTAAATCGGTTTCAAATAGCATGGCTTAAAGTCTCGGACAAGAAAAAAAATATAAAAACAATGGCAACAAACTTTACCTAGCGGTAAAATCGCGACTTGAAATAAATTTCGAAAATGTATCTATCGTGTTAATTACTCGACTATTAGATTTGACGGTGTAAAAGCAAGTCTGTTCAATAAATCGGTATAATGACAGCAAGTCGTGATATACTACAATCAGAAAGAAGATCTGCAAAAATGACTATTACTACAGCTAATAACGAAGAAATGAACACAGATATTATAGGTGATATTAACTTAACATTAGCAGTCAATAAGAAACCTACAACAGTAAGTGATGCTTATTTTGTACTTGATTTAAATGTCAATTTGTTATCTGTCAGCCAGATTATTAAGAAAGGCAACACTGTTATTTTTGACTCTGTAGGTGCAAAAATTTTTAATCCTTCTAATGAACTAATTGCATCTGCCACGCTTGAAAACAATTTATTTAAACTAGATACACTTTTAGCCACTTCTAATGGCTCAGTCATGTTTAGTGTATTTACAGAAAAAGAATTTAATATGTGGGATCGTCGCCTAGCACATGTAAACATAAATAGTCTCAACAAATTAAAAAATGGTCTAGTACATGGCATTGATTTTTCAGATAACTTTTCACCTGATTTTAAATGTGAAGTTTGCATATTAGGAAAAAGTCACCGTTTGCCAGTCAAGTCTAGTGAGACTCGTTCAGCAAGACCCTTAGAACTAGTGCATTCAGATTTATGTGGCCCGATGCAGGAAAATTCACTATCTGGTTCACGATATGTACTTACATTTCTCGATGATTATACTCACAAATCGTTTGTTTATTTTTTGAAACATAAAAATCAAGTCTTTGAGCAATTTAAAATTTTCAAAAATTTTGCTGAAACGCAAACTGGTCAAAAAATTAAATGTTTTAGAACAGATAATGGCGGCGAATACTGCAATACAGAAATGAGAACGTTTTTAAGAATGCAGGTATACTACATCAGCTTTCTGTTCCGCACACATCAGAACAAAATGGCAAAGCAGAAAGGCTTAACCGGTCAATAATAGAAAAAGCTTGTTGTCTATTGATTGAAGCAGGGTTACCTAATATTTTTTGGGCCGAAGCAGTATACACATCAGTTTACTTACTTAAAAGACTACCTAGTAGGAGCATTGACAAGACCCCTGAAGAATTGTGGAGTGGTTTTAAGCCAACAGTGAGACACATTAGAATATTTGTATGTAAAGCATTTGCACACATTCCTGCTCAGAAGAGACAAAAATTAGATCCTAAAGCAACACTGTGTATTTTTATGGGCTATAGTTTAGAATCTAAGGCATATAGGTTGTATGACCCTGAAAAAAATATTGTATTTGTGTCAAGAGATGTTCAATTTATCGAAAATGAAAAAGGTTCAGTGTTGTTAAAAGATGTAGATCTCGAAAACAAAAAGGAAATTTTCTTTCCAGAATCTCTTTCAGTTGCTAAAAATTAGGAGCATGACGTAGCAGAAGAAAATCTAGAAGAATCTGATGATTCACGAAGTTCTTCCTCAGATGAATATGTTGAGACAGAAGTGTTATCTCATGATGAAATTGACCAACATACAGATACTGACTCGAATGATTCAATATTCGAACCCGATTTAGCAGTTGCAATACAAGGTCAACCTATTAACAGACCTCAGAGAACAAAAAAGGTACCTGATTCATTAAAGGATTATGTGACATATTCTGCAGTAATCACAGAAGATACCGATCCTTTAACAGTGGAAGAAGCCCTCAACAGACATGATAAAGACTATTGGTTTCAAGCCATGAAAAATGAATTTGAAGCCCTGATTCAAAATGAAACTTGGGATCTTGTAGATTTGCCTTTAGGTAAGAAACCTTTAAATAATAAGTGGGTTTTCAAAACCAAACATAAAGAAGGCGAAACAATGCCTCAGTACAAAGCACGGTTAGTGATTAAAGGTTGTGCACAGCGAAAGGGGATAGATTTTGAAGAGACATACGCTCCGGTTGTCAGATATAGCTCGATAAGGTATTTATTATCATTTGCAGCCGAACACAACCTAGACATTGATCAACTTGATGCAGTGACAGCTTTTCTTCAGGGCGACTTAAATGAAGAAATATATATGGTTCCTCCTGAAGGTTTCAATAAAACAATCAAGGTATGTCGTTTAAAAAAATCACTGTATGGATTAAAACAAGCCAGTCGTGTTTGGAATCTAAAATTAGACATGTTTTTAAAGAAAATTGGATTGAAACAGTCCCAGAGTGATTCCTGTATTTATTATAAAATGAATGAAAATAGCATCTTAATATTGGCAATATATGTAGATGACATGATACTTTTGTCCAATAATAAGAAAGATAAAAATGATCTTAAAAGTCAGTTGATGGAAAACTTTAAGATGAAAGATATTGGTGAGGCAAAATTGCTCCTTGGATTTCAAATTACAAGGGATAGAAATAATAAAAGAATTTGGATTAGTCAGCGTCCATACATAGAAAAAATGTTAAACAGATTTAACATGGACAATTCAAATCCAGTGGATACTCCTTCATCAGTAAGTGAAAAATTGTCAAAAAGCCAATCACCTACCAGTGCCGATGAACATAAAAAAATGGAGTCAGTACCATATCAAGAAGCTGTTGGCAGTTTGTTATTTGCTTCACAAATTTCAAGACCTGATATTTGTCATGCTGTCAATTGTGTGAGTAGATTTAATCAAAATCCTGGTCCTGCTCATTGGTCTGCTGTAAAACGAATACTTCGATATCTAAAAGGGACTATTGATTATAAACTCGAATTTAAAGGTGAGACACTAAATGACTCAGATATAATCGGTTATTGTAATGCAGACTGGGCTAATGATCAAGATGATAGAAGATCGGTGACTGGATATATTTTTTCTCCGAAATGGTTGTCCGATTTCCTGGAATAGTAAAAAGCAACCGACAGTAGCGCTCTCCACTACGTAAGCTGAATATATGTCTATGTCATCAGCAGCTCAAGAGGCTTTATGGCTTCGTGGATTAAGCAGAGAGTTAAGTTTGACCTCAGAACCAACTCTGTTATATGTCGATAACCAAGCAGCTCAGAAGTTAGCTTTAAATGGAGCCTATCAAGCCCGCACTAAACATATTGATGTGCGCCATCATTTTTTAAAGGAAAAAATAAATGATGGACTCTTAATTTTAAAATACGTGCCTACTCAATCCATGATTGCCGATTCGTTGACAAAACCTCTGGACAGACTAAAGTTTTTGAAGTGTGTGAAAAGTCAGGGACTTATTTCAAATAGGGAGGGTGTAGAAACATATTTGAAATAAGAAGAAAAAGAAGATTATATAACTTAACCTATAACTTCACTTGTCACTTGTCTTTGATATTGTCATAAATAAAAACCACATGTTTTTAGTAAAGTTTATTCCAACTTGTTTCTTTAGTTTTTACCCCATCCTCAACAACTCTAACAACACTTAAAACTTCTATGGTATTAGTTTGTTAATATGGAAATCTAGTATTAAAAAAAATACATTTAAACCCAATTTTGCATCAAATTTTGTGGCTTACGATATTTTATTAGAACAACTGATGAAATCGGTTAAATGTCTTGTCGCTTAAGTAGTACTTACGTTACTCTATGAAATACATAATTTCATTTTTACGCAAAAAAAATAGTTTATAAAATCACTAATGATATTTTGGGAAGACGACTTTCAAAACACAAAAAAATTACTTTAGTTTTATGAAATATAAAACAACATTTATTCAGAAATTAAAATAATATAAAAAGTATGTAATGCACTTTTTAATTTAAGAATAAAATAATTAAATCAATTAGTTCTCTCCTCCAGTCTCATCTTCCCCATCGGTTTCTGCTAAAGTGTCGGGAACTTGCGCTGCGCCCACAAACTTTGTATATTTCACAATAAATTGACAAGGAATATTTTTTGCAGAGCTGCATAAGGTCTCTATATTTCAAATGGGAAATTTCTAGAGGGCGCGGATAGACAGATTCTAGCTTATTAGATGCGTTTTTAAGTAATATAGAAAATTACTTTAGTTTTGAATAAAAAATATTTATCTGTTTTTTGGTAGAACTGAAGTTCAGTGAAATATATTTAGCTAGTGCAAAACTACTTTTTAATGCCGCTCACGAAGACCGACTGAAAAGTGACAATTCAATGTCATCAATTTGGTATGTAAGAAAACGCATTTAGTGACATATAAAGTAAAAAAAATAATTCAGAAGTATCATCGAATTTTATATTGTTGAAAAAAAATATGTTTAAAAGAAAACTAGACAAAAAATTTAACTTTTAGCAGTTCCACTAGTTAGGGGTAATAACAAATTGTCGGCGGAATCAGAATAGGAATATTTAACTTGAATTTCATCTTTGCCTTTTTCAAACAAAGCAATTTTCACTTTATTAAATTGAAATATGCCTCCATCTAATGTTTTTATAATTCCCGTGGGTATGATGTTTTGAGTCTTTAGTTTTCAAAATAAATTGTTGACAAACTTCGATTTCCTGATCATTCTATGTAATAAAATAATTGAAGGTCCTGTTTCTTCCACTGTATTCTGTATTACCCGCCTTCTCTTAACTTCTGTTTCCTTAATGCAGGACAATTTTGTTGCACAGGAATGTTGACACTTCTTGTTTTTGCAAGGATTTTCTTGCACTGATTTTTTAACACCTAAGGTATTTTCTATTTTTCCTATTTTCTTCGTTTCCACTTTTTTAGATTTCCTTAAGCCAGCATCTCCAACAGAAATATCGGTATCTATCTCTACTCTTTTTTCCTCATCTAAACTTAAATAAAAAAAATCTGAATCTTTCTACTCGTAAAATGAATAATCAGAGTCAAATCTTTTAATTTTTTTGTTAGACAAGTTTTTTACTTTAGAATTATTTGATATTGTACTAGCTGAAGGATGTTCAACCCCGAAATGTTCCGAATCTGAGCTACTTAAATAATCGACCAGACTAATTTGAAAAACGTTTTCTCTTTTTTATAAGTATTGATTTTTTCAATGTCAGTTAAACCAATTTCGTTTAACTGATGAGAACTGGTTCCTGCTGGTATCTCTGTAAGGATTGGACTGTCGGTATTTTCAAAATATATCGGCAAATTTTCAATATCAAACAATGATAGATTTTCGTCTAATATTGCCATTAAAGCAATACGTTTACCCGTGACATATTAACGTTTTCTATAATAAAAACAAGATTTTTATTACAAAACCGACCTTAATATTTAATAATTATAGCAACATACCTGTACTACTACCACATCCCCAACTAGCCATTGATAAAAGTGTATTTGTTGTGAAGTTCTCACCATCATCTACTAACTGTATAGTCCAGGAAACAGTGACGATTTTCGGTATTTATTTTCCCAGTCAGCAAACACGGATAGAGAATTAGCAATTTTAAGCAAAATTTATATATATTTAGAGGGGGTCTAATGGGTTGAAGCCAAAAATGCGTCAGAACATACGAAAACACGGCTCCTTTTTTCCAGTGATAAAAATAGTTCTAGTAGTAAGAGATATGCTGAAGTTAAGTAAAAAAATAGTCTGATTAATCTGTGAGTATGGATAACATATTTGGCAAGTGCAAATACACTTTCAAACGAGTTATGTACACAATTTTTTCTACGACAATTCATGATAATAGACATGAAAAATAAAACAATAATGAAAGTTTATTCCAGTTGCCAAAACCGTACAAATACAATTTTTGGATTAATGTGATAAAAAGTGGTTAAGGACTTTGGTCAATATTTTGGTTATGTGCGGTTATGTCAAAATATATAAACAATAACAAAGAATACCTAATAACAACTGATAACAATGTCCAATGTTTTAAATAAATTGAAAAGTTCCAAGTAGAATACAAAAAAAGAAATAAGCTTCTGAAAATGTTACATGTAATCTAAGTACCTCTAATTGGACTATGTGTTGGAAAAGTTTATAAGCATAAAAATAGCTGAATGTTACAGGTGTTTTGTATATTAAAGTGTACGCATAGGAGACATAAATAAAATCATATATCACAATGTTTCACCTCACCAGTTGTTTTATTTATAGAAATAAAACATAATAATTGAAGATATTACAGAAGAAAATAGGGAAATAAATTACATTTCCTTTTACACTTTTATATAATAATTATTTTATTTAGAATTCACGAAACACTTATTACTGTTTGGCTTTAGAATTTTTTTACAGTTTTAACACAAGCCTACTCTACATTAATTATAATTATTGTTAGTTTCGATTTCGTTTTGTCAAATCATTTATACTAGAGGTGTGAGGAAAAAACAGTGAACCGTGGAACGCCAATATCGTTGGGTGCGCGTGGTAGAAATGGTCCTCTAATGCTGCTAAAAACACAGCTAAATTTTCATGAAAACACTGTACTTTTGACATTTGCGATAAGCATAATTGAAATAATCTCATGATTTTACAGTACTAGTTTTTGCAATTTTAGTGTGATTTTAAGCTTATTACGGTTATTCGTTTTGTTTGGTTCTAATCTTTTGCGCTTTTAGAGTATTTGTCTTTTATAGTTATAGTTTTTAATTTGAATTTTAATTGTGTGGTCTATTTATATTTGATTGCTGCTTTTCGACTAGTCCTTTATTCTTTTTGTGTTAAAATAAGCTTCATAACCATTAAGTACATGCTTCTAGTTGATATCTACCTAATCGTCATCGGGTGCTTGCAACAATAGGAAAAAGTGTGTTTTATTTTGGTATAAAAGTTAGAAGCCTTCATTTTTCAAGTTAGTTATTTTTAGTTATTTTTTACTTAAAAGGATAAAAGGTTCAGGGTGTGACTGTTGGGTTTTAGCTATCTGAGCCAAATTGTCGGCTGTGTTGTCTTTTGGGGCACCCAAAACCGAAAACTCTATAGTTATATATGATGTTTTTTTAAATTATTTTTAACAGGTATGCAGCTTGGGTGAGGGCTTTAGGAAGAGATCTTAAGACTGAAACGTTGACTGCTATAAATTCCGTTTTTAGAGCACATTTCATAGAAAGTGACTTTATTCTAGCAGGAACTAGGAAACGTTTAAAAAACATGCTGTACCAGCTATTACTTTAAGACCTCGTCTCTTTAATAAGTTAATATTACTTCATTTTAAAGTATATATTAAAATGGTTTTTAACTTGTACCCTTATGATTAAAAGATGTAGGTATTTGAGTTATGTTATAATAGAAATATATGATATATTGTATTGACCTGCTGGGTACTGGTCATTCCACTTTTACTCCCTTTTTTCATAAATTGACAAATTATTTAAAAACACATACATACCTAGCTATTTTCTGTAAATTACATTAAAAATTAAAAAAACGTATTTCTCATTTATTAAATTGTTATTAACGATAAAGAGTACTTTTAATTAATTAAAACAAAAATAAAACCTGAATCGATAACTTAAATCAGTGAAATTAAGTTGCTTGAGATGGGGTCGTTTTTATGGAAAATTTTAGTGTTAATACTTTACTAATAAAATTACAGTTAATTTATCTTATATATATATACAACGGAAGAATTAATTGGATTTTCTTCTTGTTGAGTTTCAAAAATAGTAATTTAATATGATTTAAAAACAAATACATGAAATGAGCAAAATAGGCCTGCAAAGGCACTTTGTGCACAATCTCACCTGTATCGATGCGACGTAATGCGCAAATTCAATTTGGCTTACTTTTGTTAATAGATTGGCGTTCCATTTTAAATATACAGTTTACTGGGAAAACATTTTTTAAATATACACGGACCGGGAAAACAAGTACGAACGAAATTCACTGGCTCCTGGACTAGTACTGTATCGAAGGAATTTTATGAATTAAACAAATTACGACCCTACTACAATAACGATCTACTCTAGTTACGCTGTTGTCAGACATTAACATCGCAAACTTGGCATCAATATTTTATCCAAATATTGCATTTCTGCCGACGAACATCCGCGTTGACTTCAGAAATTTTGTAAATAATCATATCTGTTTTGGTTATATATCTATGGTTGAAAGCACGTAAAATTGGCATCAATGTTCAATCAGATTATTGTGTTTCTACCGCGGACGCGGACGTTGATTCTTTAAAAATTTTGTAAATAATCCTATCTGTCTTGGTTATATATTTATGATTACTACAATTAAATTTACCGAATCACACTAGCTAATAACAATAATAATAATTATTAATATGGGATATTTATTAACTTTTTAATATTGTAACAACCACCATGTGGTATTGTGTACTGTGTTAGTACGACCACAGTTTATAGCTAAAGAATCAGTTCGCTCACTCTGCGTCGGCCCTTTTGATCTTAATGTTCCAGTTTATACACTGCGCAACTCGGATTTATATCCCTGGCGCATACAGAATCAATTCATAACCAATACAATACATGACAATCGCCTAAATTCAAACAGCATTCTTCTGCGCATCCTGAATTTGTATCCCTGGAGTGGATATTATTTTGGAACATCCAATTGGTGTGAGTGAGCGAACTGATTCTTTTAAGCTATAAACTGTGGTACGACTAAGCTGTTTTAAAACGGGAATAACGCCTTGATAAAACGAGGTGGGGGGAAAAATATTATCGTAAGCGACCGTGTCGAATCGTAAGCACCATGACTATGCGGCGGTTACGTTTATTTATCGGGAACATATAGGCGCTTACGTTATAAATCGGTAACAAATTTAAAACGGCAGGCGCTTACGTTAATAAAAATATTGAAACTGACCAATAACGAGAGTCAAAAACGGGGATAAAGTATGTCACACTGGTGAAAACTATTCGCAACCGACAGTTTGGTCCAAAAAAAGTAATGAGCAAAAATTGTCGCTTACGATGTTTTGTTAAACACCTATCGAAGTGTTGTTAAAATTAGTTAGATCTCTGTGTAGAATTGAAAAAATTGGTTAATATTAAAACGGGGGAATTACATTTATATTGTATTGGACAAGTTTTAAAATATTTTGTTAAAAATTTCATTTGAATAGTTTTTGACACTCATGTGCAATATTGTCGATTTAGAAGAGGAAAAAACAGTAATTAATTTAACTAAAGAAGAAGTACCTAATAAGACCAAAGAAGGCTGACAGAAAAATATTAAGAAAAGCTCGCTTCCTGTTTATGAGCGCAAATATTTTGATTTCTTCTTTAACTGTTACCATTTTAAAGTCCCTGTGCAGATTTGTGTTCCGGATAGAGAGAGATGGAGAGAGAGAGAGAGAGCATATATGTTTATTGTCCAAGTTAAAATACTTATTGACAAACACAATATTGTACAAATATTGTACAAATTACAAATAAATAAATAGTCATTAAAATATAAACAAACATTATTATAAATTAACATTAATACATACATCTAAAATAAAATAGAACAAAACAAAATAAAACACATATTTCAGTGTCTCGTCATTATAAAATTCTGTAATATTATAATAAGGCCTAGTTAACATAAATCTCCTGAGCAGCTTCTTAAAACAATTCTGTGACTCAACATCTGTCAAAGTATATGATAGCCTATTGTTCATCTTGTTACCATTGTATATAAAAGAGTCTCTTATTAGTTTAGTTTTGGGAATAGGCAACTTCAAGTTACCCGTTTGGCGAGTTACACGGGATGTATTCGATTTATATTTCGACTTGTTCTTATGGATCATGCAACAAGTTTCTAAGATAAATAAAGCTGTTAATGTTAATATTTCTTGTTTTAAGAACAGCGGTCTGCATGAAACTAATCTGTGTGCTTCACATAAGAACCTTATTGC